AYMWAAKKAAYYAWTTRCKKKAAAAATGCAGAACTTTAAATGTTAGCTGGTCAAAGTACAATMACTTCTGAACCTTTTACGTCACTACTTGATTTTCAATGCATTGTGGGATCAGTTTCTAGAGAAATCAAAAGAAATTCGCTATGATCTYTCCCAACATATCCTACAATGCATTGCGTGTACGGTACATGACGTAAAACCTTCAGAGGTACCAATCTTACTTTTCCTTGTATTTGACGTTTTGACAGTTTTTCAGTTTTTCCTTGTTCCAGAGAATCWTTATTATCCCAGTCATCATGGTCGTCATTATCATCAAATTTAATGTGTTTTATATTCTCTGGCTTGTCATTCTTGTCAAGATTTTGTAAAGCAGTGCTTATAATTGACTGCTTTGTACTTGTATTTACTTCTCGTTCTTTGATGGCTTTAAGTCGCTTTTCATTGGACGTGACTTTCTTTGTAGAATTTATATTTTTGGTAGAAGAAGATGAATCCTTTGTTTTGAGAATTTTTTCATTAGGAAGATTAATCTTTGAAATGKTTGGTTTCTTTTCAACATCACTTTTAATGTCTCCATTTACTAAGACACTATCCCCTGACATTCTCTTTCTGTTATCTTGATCCCCATGTTTATTACTTTTCTCTACAATGACAGACTCTTCAGCTTCGTCACTACCTTTTTGCATGGCTGTAAAATAAGCTTTATTATTATCCACGTCTTCTGTCACTGTTTTTTCTTTGTCTTCTTGATCATTTTTCTTTTCTTTATGTTTTAACTTCTTGTCAAAAGTTTTTCCATCAATTTTGGTCAAAGACTGGTCATCTTCTTCTGAAGTCAATTCTCTTTTTTTACTTCCTTTTGTTTTCTTCTTTGATTTCTTTTTCTCGCTTTGTCTTGCACTGTCCACATCTACACCATTGGTTTCAATGGACGTATTACATGTAGCTGAAATATCATCATTCTGACCAAGAGTATTTTCATCTTTTCGTTTCTTTTTTTGTTTTTCTTTTGCATGTTCAATAAAATCATTTTCATTTGTTATATTTGGTTCACTACTCATGCTATCATCCTGAACATCTTGACTTGACATTTTTCTCTCTCTTTTCCTTTTTACATTTTCTTGGAAATTGTTGTCATGCTGAAGTGATGTTTTGTTGCTGACTGGTTTGTCAATTGAGTCGTCATCTTTCTTCTCTTTTTTTATTTTATCTTTCTTTTTTTCCTTGTGCTTTTTCTTTGAGCTAACCATGTTATCCACATCCTCTTGAATAKAGTCAGATGATCTTTTCCATTTATTGAATGAAGTATCTTCTGAACTTGCTTTCTTATTCTTTGTTTTATCACAGTTGAGCTCAGAATCTGATGTATTCTCATTTTCAAAGTTCTTCATTTTAGGTCTTTTTTTCAAATTGCCATTCAAGTCCATTTCATTCTGMGAATAATGCTCCTGACTTTCTACACATTGKAWGTCTTTTCTAWGAAKATGACTGCTATTTTTCTTTGATAARTTAGCTTTTTTCTTTGATTTATGAATTACAATGTCCTCCTCACTGCTCTCACTRGAACTATCAAGACRATTTTGAGAGTCTTTGGCTTTACACACATCCCAGGGATACCAACCTCTTGACTCAAGRTTCCAAGTCAGTTCTGAAACATTTTTACKATCTTTTTCCTCTTTAATTCTCTTCAKGTTATGTACAGTTTTGCTTGGGTCAAATGTCATTACTTTTCTTCCATGCTTTGGACGCATATGAACAACAGGCAAAGCTCTGCCAAATTTACCAACAACCCAGTTTCGTTGTCCAGGTAATTGAGTACCAGGAACAGCATTCCGTATAGGCTCAATCAGTTCTTTTGG